TTTTTTTGGTTTTTCGAGACAGGGTTTCTCTGTAGCTTTGGAGCCAGTCCTGGATCTCACTCTGTAGACCAGGCTGGTCTCGAACTCACAGAGATCCACCTGTCTCTGCCTCCCGAGTGCTGGGATTATAGGCTTACGCCGCTGCCCGGCTTGTTTTTACTTTTAAACAGTACATAATTATCTGATATCTTTAGATTAAATGGTTGGATTATGTCTTGATTGTACATTAGAGTCTGCCAAATTTTCTATGAGATCATTTTCACTTAAGCTGAGTGCAATCGTATACCACCTTTTATCCCAGCACTTAGGGAGGTAGAGCAGGAAGGTCAGAAGTTCAAGATCATCCTTGGGTTCATAGCAAATTTGAGGCCAGTGTGGGCTATAAAAGACTATGTTTCAAAAAAGAACAAAACAAAACATTTTTGCGGGGCTGGAAAGATGGCTCAGTGGTTAAGAGCAGTGCCTGCTCTTCCAGAGGACCTGGGTTCAATTCCCAGCACCCAAATGGCAGCTCACAACTGTCTGTAACTCCAGTTCTAGGGGACCCGACATCCATGGCAAAACACTAATGTACATAAAATAAAGTTTTAAAAAAATTTTTTGCTTAATATCAGTGTTCTGCCAGATGGTGGTGGCACTCGCCTTTAATCCCAGCACTCAGGAGGCAGAAGCAGGAGGATCTCTGTGAGTTTGAGGCCAGCCTGGCCTACAAAGCAAGTTCCAGAACAGCCAGAACTGTTACACAGAGAAACACTGTTTTGAAAATGCAAAAATAAAATAAAATAACAGTGTTCATATTTTCTTCCTTATTTACTTGTGTGTGTTTATTTGCACCCAAACTGAGCTTTTTTTTTTTTTTTTTTTTTTTTTTTTTAAGATATCTTCAACAAGAGTTATTACAGATTTTAAATAATAGTCTTGGGGCTAGAGAAATGGTTAAGTGCCCTGGTTGCTTTTTCAAGAAACCTGGGTTGAATTCCAAGCACCCACATAGTGTCTTATAACTGTCTATAACTCCAGTTTCAGGAGGTCTGATGCCCTCTTCTGACCTCTGTGGACACCGGATGCCTTCTGAGTCCCCTCACAGCCAGGGCACTACAGAGAAACTGTCCCAAAAAACCAAAACATCAAAGAATAAAATAAAATCCAATGATAAGCAGAATGGTTCTTTTTTTGTTTTTGATTTGGATTTTTGTGACAGGGTCTTGCTATAAAGCTCTGGCTGGCCTGGAACTCACTATTGTAGGTCAGCTGGCATTGAACTTTAGGCCATCTTCCTGCCTCTGCTGAAATGCTGGAGTGATAGATGTACCCCAATGTACCCAACTCTTCTTGTTTCTTTGTTTGTTTGTTTTTGAGACAGGGTCTTACTATGTAGACCAGGCTGGCCTCAAACTCACAGAAATTCACCTGCCTCTGCCTCCCAATTGCTGGGCTCCTAGCTCTTTTTTAAGGATATATATTTTTTTCTTTTGAGACAGGGTTTCTCTGTCTAACTGTCCTGGAACTCACTTTGTAGACTGGGCTGGCCTTGAACTCGCAGATATCCACCTGCCTCTGCCTCCCAAGTGCTGGGATTAAAGGTGTGTGCCACTGCTGCCCAGCTCCTAGCTCTTTTTTTTTTTTTTTTTTGAGACAGTGTTCACTGTGTATCCGGATTGGCCTTGGGCTTGGGATCCTCCTGCCTCATCTTCTCCAGTGCTAGGATTAAAGGCTAGAACCACCATGCCCAGGTTACATAGTTCTTAAAAGAATTTGCTTTAGACCTAACCTGAAGGCATATAAAAGCAGGTTGCTGTGACCTACCCTGGAGTTGCAGCTTTACTAGGTCTTGGATGGGCCTGAGAGTTTTGATTTTTTTACATTCCCAAGCGATGTGATTATTTTGGTCTGATGACCATACCCTGAGATTCACAAGCACCCAGGGGATGGATAGTTCTATACTAGAAAGGGAGTTAAAGTTCGAGGGAACACTTTAGGAGAACTCGGTGAGACCGGAGATTGAGCTCAGTGATAGAGCTTTTGTGTACTATACACAAGAGCCTGTGTTCAGTCTCCAGCACTCAATACACGGCAACAATTGTAATGAGTATGCCCTCAGATGAGCAGATACTGCTTTAAAACAAGAACTCTAAGTTTAGCATGTAAGACTTGCTGTTTCATTGGCCAAGGTAATTCTTGTAGCTAGAGATGATTGTGCACGCCTTTAATCCCAACACTAGGAGGCAGAGGCAGGTGGATCTCTGAGTGAGTTTGAGGCCAACCTGGTCTACAGATAGAGTTCCAGGCTGTTACACTGAGAAATCTTGTCTCAAAAATAAAAAGAAAGAAAGAAAGAAAGAAAGAAAGGGAGGGAGGGAGGGAGGGA